TGAAACTACCCCTGCTGGGTGGGGCCGAAGGACACAGGTGAAGTTCTGCATGGGGGCAGGGCTGTGGCTGGAGGCAAAGGGCAGGCTCACCCAGCACCCCACTTGCAAGGGCCCACCAGCTGGGCCAGAGATGGCGCCTCTGTGCCCCTGCTCTGCTGCCTGGGACTCGTGTGGCCCATGATCATTTTTTAGCCACTTGTTACTAAGAAAGTAAACTCCCTGGCTTTGCAGTTGGCCCCTCGGGTGGGAGTCTCCCTTGTGTTTCAGGGTAACACAGAGCTTCCCCCGTCATTGTCCACCTGAGAACAGCATGAGTGGGTTCAGGCTCTGGATCGAAGCACGCAACTTCCTAGAGCTGTCACGGCTGTGGGACTCAGGCGGTCACACCTGTGTCCAGCCCTTTTCTGGTAATGTCCCGGATGCTAGTTCGCTGTACTCAGCTCTCAAGTCTGAGAGTCTCCTAGCATGCGGGTAGATGAATGTCCTTGGTGATGAAGGTGAGCACAGGCAGGTACATTAGCACCACACAGGCTCATGATCACGGGCCTGACTAAGAAAAAAAGCTAAAATCCCGCCTCCCAAGCTGCCCTCCTGAGCCACCTTTCGCCTCATGCCAGCTCCTCCCGTAGACTCCTTCATGGCAATCCTGCCAGTCCTGCACCTCAGGCTGAAAACGCTGGGGTCATCCGCACACTCCTCTGCGTCCCACGTCTGGCCTTGCAGTGCCCCTGTGGCTCTCCCTCAACTCAAATCAGCATTTGCCCACTTCTCCCACCTGCTCTGCCGCACCAGGCCCCACTACCTGCCTCCCTTGGTCTTTCTCCGGACAGCAGCCCGAGTTTGAGTCAGGCCACATCACTTCTCTGCTCAGAGCCCTCTCTGAATCAAAGAGCCCAAATATGACCACAACATGCCCCTCTCCCTCCCTGCCTGACCAACACTCTCCACACCAGCCATTGCACCTCCTCACTCCCCAACCCCACCAGGCCTCAGGGCCTTTGCACTGCTCTTCCCACTGCTTCGAATCCTCTTCCCCAGGTACCCACTGGCTTGCTCCCCACTTTCCTTCAGGTCTCTATTCAAAGGTCACTTGTCCCTGATCTCCCCATATAAACACAAAACCCCTTCCCTGCTCCTGCAAGTCACAGCTCCTTTCTTTGCTTACTTTTTTCTTTTGAACATTATCAGTGTCTCTTATATTTTGTTACTTGTTTGCCTTGTTTATTATTGGATTTCTCCCAACCAGAATATAAGAATCATGAGGGCAGGGATGTTCTTGGTCTCCTGTTCACTGTTGTGCCACCCTCACCTAGACACGTGGTAGGCACTGTGCAGACATTGGATGGAATGAATGAATGTAAAACCGAAACGTGGATTGTACAGCTGCCAAGACTCAAAGATCACCTGACTACTCGGGAATACAATTTGTTGCTGCAGGGGTGATGTGGTTGGCTCAGAAACTATGAAAACAATGACCAAAAAAGTCTAGGAGCCTCAAACTGCCAATATGGAAATCCAGCATGTTAATGTTTTAAAGCCTAAACCTTCCTACATGTGAGAGATGTAAATAAAGGGTAACCCTGAACCATGTTAGGTATCACACAGAGGGCATTTAAATGAAAGACTGGGGCCCACTGCTGTTGAGCTTGGAAAACACAAGAATGGAACACCTTGGTAACCCAGCGATAATATCCCCAGGAAACAGCTAGCTCCCTCCCCTAAGGCTGGGAGACAAGAAAGGGAGGCGGGGCATATCCGAACCAGATGGAGAAGGTCCGGCGGGAGAACGAGAGTGCGGGGTAAGGGGCTAGAGAACAGAAGGTGGGCAAGTCCTGAGGACAGCCTGGCCCAACCTCACACAAACAGAAGGCCAGCAGGGTGCGCTAGTGAGCACTGTGCCGCCACCCCAGGCAAGAGCTGACTGTATCCCAGCAGATGTGAAACATACAAGGCCCAAGGATGGCCTCCAAGCACCACTCCGCAGTGTGTGTGCAGAGAGAAAAAAAGCACTTCTTTCCCACTGCAATACTCAAGGGACCAAGAAAAGGGCTCAGCACCCCTTTAATTGCTAGCAGATTCAAAACTGCAAATGGGGCCAAGTTTCCCACACCCTCTAAGGACGTGCAGACACTTCCAAGAGCCAGCAGAAGCTCAGAAACCCAGACTTCCTCACAAAGCTCTTAAATGGAACTAGAGGACGCAAATCTAACCCAGCCCAGAAACAGTTCAAAACATGTAAACTGGGGAATCTGATAGGGAATTATGCAGAGAAAAGCTGGCATTGTCAATACAGCACAGCAGAGCACACACATCTGGCTGCCTTTTGTGTTTATAGTTCGTATATCCAGACAATCTTTTTATGCAAAAAATAAATCTGCATGGAAATAAGGTGCAATCTGCTTTTACATTACTGGGATATATTTTACTTGGCAAATAATTTTCCTGGACTTAAAAGGATCAAAGAAAAGGAAAGGAATTCCCTGGCGCTGCACAACAAAACTCACGTGGTACTGGGCAAGGACCAGCTAACTGTCCCAAAGAAAACCAAGGACTAGAAAGGAGGCAGGACTTATGGTTCCCGCTCTGCCCTCCAGGCTCCCTTCTTTACCCCCTCCAGGGGGTGCCAGACTGGCCCTTGCAGGAGTCTCCACCACCAGGACTCAACCGAGGCAGCAGCTTCAACAGTTCCATGGTGAGCTGTTAGAAAATCCTTTTCTTGGGAGGCTGACACGGGCAGATCATGAGGTCAGGAGATCAAGACCATCCTGGCTCACATGATGAAACCCTGTCTCTACTAAATATACAAAAAATTAGCCAGGCATGGTGGCACGAGCCTGTAGTCCCAGCTACTCTGGAGGCTGAGGCAGGAGAATCACTTGAACCCAGGAGGAGGAGGTTGCAATGAACCAAGATGGCACCACTGCACGCCAGCCTGGATAATAGAGAGAAACTCTGTCCCTCCACCCCACCTCCAAAAAAAAAATCCTTTACACCCAGCCGCTGGGCCTCACACTTACTACCCACCAACCCCGCCACCATCCTCTGACCCCTATTTCTGATTCAAGTTCCCCTTGAGGTACTTGGAGGTAGCTCTGATATCCCTTCCGAGTCTTTTCTCCATGGTGGTAATCATGCACGTCTTCAACCTTTCTTCACTCTTTGGAGACATTCTTGCATGTCCACACACCTGGTGACCATGTAAGGGACCCAGCATAATTCACAATTCACAGGAGCGCAAAAGAGGTGGAGCCAGGGCGTGTGCAGGGCAAGTCTAGTTCCACACACGCCCTCCCTGCTGCTCCAGGTCAGGCATTTCCACCTGCGTGGAGGCTACTGAAACCACACCCTCTTTCCACTGTCTGGCCCAACCCCAGCCAGAAGCAGCTGATGCGGGTGGTAACAATGACAACCGGCATTTATGAAAGACCTGCTCTTGTCAGACCCTCCGCTGTGCCTTTCTTTCAGTCCTCACAAACGTCAGAAGCCACAGGTACAAAGTTAACAGGGGAGGAGCCCCACGGGGAGCCTGCTGCAACCAGCCTGCCTGGGGTCACAGAGCTAGGACGCCTGACCACAGCCAGGCTCAGGGATTCCATGTATTTAAGCCCTGTTCCAGGAAAGGTCATTGAATAAACCGCTGTTCCTTCACGACGCTTTCCTGATTTGGGCATTCATTTGTTAAATTTAAAATATCATAACAAATAGCAAATCCAAGGAAAACTGCTTCCATGCTTGAAATAACACCAAACTGTCTGGAGAACAGCTATAAATGTGAGGCTCTGGGGGAGCAGAGGGAGGCCTGAAAGGCGGGCCTTCTCACTCAGGGCCCCAACTGGCTGGCTGTGGGAGCCCTTCCAAAGGATGCGTCATGAGAACCCAGCTAATTATCCACGCAATTCACACACCGGGGTGGGGGCCATCACCATGGGGGAAGCCGAGGCTATCTCAAGACCGAAGCCAGACAGGAGGCTAGGGAGACTTGCATGGGCCACCCTCTGCTTTAGTAACTTGGCCCTAAGCTTCGGGGTAGGGGGGGAGTCTCTGCTTACAGGACGACTTCGAAAAGGAAGGCTATTGGGTCACTGTCCCAATGATCTGAGCTACAGGTGGTCACACACTGGGGAGTGGGGGGAGGCCCGGCTCGGAAGTCCTCTTCCCACTCCTCCCGTCCTGGCCCTCACAGGCAGTTCCTCTCCCCGCCTCCCCCCAACACCCCGAAATTCCTCCCGTCTCAACTCCAGCACCTCTCTCTTGAGTCCTCCCTGCCTCCAGCCCCCTCTCAGCTTGGCCTCCAAAAGGAAGTTCAGGCAGAGCCGTAGGAAAAGGGAAGCCACCACGGTTTCTGAAAACAATTCCCGAGGGCCAGGACGGTCACAAGGTCGGGGAGGAAGCGGCGCAGCTGATCAAATGCGAGTGGGACTAGCCCCCTGGGGTGGGGTGGGGGAACCCTGGTTGTCTGCGGCAGCCGCTGGCGGGGCGGCCCCTCCAAAGAGGGACGGAAGGGCTGCGTGGCACCCTCGAACTCAAAGAGCTGGGGCGCGCCCTCCGCGGGGAGAACTCGGGGGTGGCTGCTAGACCCGACGCGACTCCTGGCCTCGAACTCCACAGTTAACCGCTCCCAGACGCTTTCCCAGAGCGCCCGCCGGCCTGCCCTTCCGAGGTACCTAGCAGTGGGCTGGGGCCCGGCCGACCCTGGGAGCCGCTCAGCACCGGGCTTTCCCGCCCTCCTCGGAAGTGACTCGTCCCCGGGACGGTCCGCCGCCCGCCCTGCCGGTCTCGACCCTTTCCCGATCCATTTCGCTCCTCCGCCGGGGGCGCCACCAGGCTCAGCAGGCCCCCGTCCCCCTACCCGCCGCCCAGGCACCCCTAGTCTGCGGGCAGGAGGGAGAAGTCGCAATCTCGGGTGAAGTTTCTTCCCCGCCTCCTCCGTGGGCTTCCAGGCGGCCGCGGCCCCGCGCCCTCGGCTCCGCGACCCCGGCCTCGCGTCCCCGGCCCCACACCTTGCCGCAGCGGCCCCCGCGCCAGCTCGGGCCGGTCCTCGGGGAAGGCGTCGCGCAGGCGCTGCCAGAGGCGGCCCAGGTCGGCGAGGCTGCGGTGCAGGTAGAGCACGCTGCGGTCCGACCACTCCGTGCGGATCTCGAAGAACTCCTCCTCGTCGCCGCGCCGGCTGACGATGAGCCTGCGGATGCCGTTCACCCAGCAGCCGCGCACGAACATGTTCACGAGCGACGTGCCCTCAAACACCGCCGAGGCCATGCCACGCGCATGCCCCCGCCAAGGGCGCCCCGGCCCCGCCGCCTGCCCGCCCGCTCGCCCGCAGGAGGCGCGCCCCGGCCGGGGTAGTCCCGGGTCGGGATCGCTCGGGGCGTGTCCGGGGCCGGGGTCTGGGTCGTACGGAGTCAGTCCGGGCGGGAGTCGTCCCGGGTCGGTCCGGAGTCGTCCCGGGTCGGTCCGGGGCCGGGGTCGTCCGGGACGCGTCCGGGACCGGGGTCGTCCGAGGTCGGCCCGGCACTCCAGGAGGCTGCGTGCGGCCCGCGCTCGGGGCGGCGCGGCGGCAAGTGGCTGGGGCCGGCAGGGCGCGGCTTTATAAGGCGCTTCCCATCGCGGGAGGCGCGGGCGGCGCGGTCGTCGACGTCGAGGCCCGGCCGCGTCCGCCTCCTGCCCGCCTCCCGGGAAACGGGCGCCGCGGGCAGCCCTGGAAGGGAAGAGGTCTGGCCGGCCGCGCCCCCGCCGCCTCCGCACAGCCCTTGCTGCTGCGGCCGCGGGAACCCCCGGAGCCGGGAGCTGGCCCGATCCCCGAGCGCTCGCCCCTGCCTAGCTCTTAGCGCCCCCCCGCGCCTCCTCCCTCGGAGCCCCGGAGCCGCAGGTCGGTGACTGGACCAGCCGGGAAGGGAGGCGGGGCGGGCTCTGCTCGCCAAGCGCTCAGCGCAGACTTTTTTCTCTTTCCGTTTCGCGATCCTTGGGACCTCCCAGGGCTGGGAGCTGCGCGCCCCACCCGGCCCGCGAGAGGATGGCAACTGCCGGGGGTCCGGAGGCGGAGCCGCGAATGTCGGGGCGGGGGGCGCGGGCCGGGCCGAGCGCCGCCCCCACCCGCCCCGAGGAGGGCCCAGGTTCCGGCCGGCCCTCAGTGCCCCGCGTCCCCTCCTTGCCCCGCGTCCCTGCCCCGCGTCCTCCCGCGCATTCCGTTCGTGCCTTAGCCGCGCCAAGGCCCGGGCCGCGGCCGGACAGACCGCTGGGCAGCCCTCGGAGAAGTGGGAAGAGAGGAGAAAACTGGCGAAAAGGTGGTTTCCTGGGAAAGAGCGCCCTGGGGAGCCGGACGCCGTGGGTGCGCTTGAGGGGACTCGGGAGTGGACCTGGGGAAACGGCCCGCATTGAAAACGGACTCAGCCACGCGTTACTGAGGCCGTTCCTACTGGGAAGAGAATTAATAGTGCTTTAGAATTACAAGTTAGCTCCAGAAATGACTCGAGTGACCTCACAGCGTGTAGGCAGGGGTGGGAGAGCCAGGGCGAGCCCCTCACCCCACTCCACCCCCCGTCCCTGCCCCCGCGGCGCTCTGAAAAGCCTTGAAAGCCCAGCGCGGCACCGAAATGTTGGAGGCCCAAGGCAGATGGCCTGCCTCGAGTCACTCCCGACCCAGATGTCCCCCACCACCATAACCAGCTTTTGTTATGACTGCGCCAGTGACTTGCAGATAGCCTAGCTTCACAGTCCTTCACCTGGTCTGGTGGACAGGTCAAGATGGAGAGTGCCAGGAGAGACTTTTCCTTTGTCTGTGTTCTTACATACACTCGTTCGTTAAATAACGCATATGTTTCCCGTGTCATTTTGTGTATGGAAACAGGGGCCGTGGGAACTGGAAGTAAATAGCCAGTGTGCCAGCAGCGCTTGACTCTAGGTGGTGAGGATAAGTGCTCTTGTAACGACGGGACTAGCCCAAATGGGCCTACTTTGTTTATAACAAAATGTTGAGTTACCTTACAGGTATAGCAGAGCCAAAAACTCTTAAGTCACAAAGCCCTAGGCATGCACAATAGAAAAAGATTTGATCTCACAACGCTGGCAGCAGCTATTCGTCTCCTTGGAACGAAGAAGACTGGGACGTGACTGGAACCCGAACATGCGAACTCTCAGAAGGGAAGGGTCTCTGGGCCCAGAAGATAGGGACTAAAATCCACCTCGACATACTTACCATAAATGGCCAAATTTGAAGGCCGTCAAACAGACCCTGCCAAGCCAACATCCCTAACTCCTTTCCTTTGCCCTCTGCTTCCTTAAAACTTGCCCCAGACCCCAAATCAGGGAGAAAGATTTGAACCTGCCTCCTGTCTCCTTGCCGGCTGGTCTTGCAATAAAGCCTTTCTTTTCTCAAAAGCCAGTACCATGGTATTGGCTTCTGTGTACATCGGGCAGTGAGCCTGAGGCAGGAAAACAGGGTCGGGAGCCTGGGAACATAGGACCAATTCACGCTTCAGCTGTAACAGGAAATAACCTCTCCAAAGGGTATACGCTGTAAAAGACTTGACTTTATTCTACATATTTACATCGGGTGTAAGCGAAGTAACCAATGGAATCCTCTAGGGGGTATTTAAACTCCCCAAAATTCTGTAATGGGGCCTTTGAGCCCCTATGCTCGGGCTGCTCCCACGCTGTGGAGTGTATTTTCATTTTCAATAAATCTCTTTCATTCCTTCCTTGCTTTGTGTGTTTTGTCCGATTCTTTGTTCAAGACTCTGAGAACCTGGACACCCTCCACCGGTGACAAGCCCATTTGCTTAATAAGACTATTCATATTTTCTTCTCGGTATTTTTTTGTTACTTATTTTCTGAAAGTGCCGGGAAGAGGAGGGCAGGCAGGGGCCACCCCAAAATAGGCCACCCGTGGTATCATGGTGACTTCTAACCCCAGTCCCCAAGAATTTGAAAGTGATGACGACTGTTATGAAGTGTTGGATTTAATTAAGTATGCAAGAAGACATCAGCGGTAGGACTGAGTATTTGACCCCAGTTTGGGACCTATGGTGTTACAGAAAAATACTCAGTAGCGCCGGGCGAGGTGGCTCACACCTGTAATCCTAGCACTTTGGGAGGCTGAGGCGGGCGGATTACGAAGTTAGGTGATCAAGACCAGCCTGACCAACATGGTGAACGCCCATCTCTACTAAAAATACAAAATTAGCCGGGTGTGGTGGCACAAGCCTGTAATCCCAGCTACTCAGGAGGCTGACGCAGAATAATCGCTTGAACCCAGGAGGCAGAGGTTTCAGTGAGCCCAGATCATGCCACTGCACTCCAGCCTGGGCAACAGAAGGAGACTCCATATCAAAAAAGAGAAGGAAAAATATTCAGTAGCTACCCAGATTGGAATGTGTGGTGTGACTGGCTGGTATGCAGGATTTTTGCTCCCGAAAAAGTTGGGAAGCTTGCAGCAACTGCAGTGACTTCCAAACTGACTGGAAGAGAATTAAAAAAGACATAAACAAAGCAAAAAGACAGACTAAGAAATGAGCAAATAAAGGAGCACCTGAAATCAACCATACAATTGAAGGAGCAACAGAATGGATTAAACAGAACATTGTGATCTCTCCAGTGGATTTGTGGGAGGCTTTTTGCTAAGACTTGCATCTTAAGAACATGAATGGTCTACCATAGCAGACTCAGCTATGAGAAGTGACGGCAACACGGTGTCCTCTCTCAATAGTACATGCTGCCGGATCTCAGAAAAACAACTTGCTGGACACTACTGAACTCACAACTTAGCATTTTGCCATCTGCAGCCTGGCAAACTGGTGTCTGCTGTAAAACAACTTAACGTGGTCTGGTGAACAGTAGTATTTCTAAACAAAACGTGGCTTTTATCATTCTTTAGAAATTAGCCCATAAAATATCATCATTGGTTGTAGATATGGAAAGATAAGAAATCTGCTGCATTTATTGCCCTGTGAAATATAAATCCCTTTTTTTACTTAGATAAGATTTTATGGCCGGGCACAGTATTTTGGGAGGCCAAGGTGGGTGGATCACCTGAGGTCAGGAGTTCAAGACCAGCCTGACCAAAATGGTGAAACCCTGTCCCTACTAAAACTACAAAAAAACGACCCGAGTGTGGTGGAAGGTGCCTGTAATCCCAGCTACTCGGGAGGCTGAGGCACGAGAATCTCTTGAACCCAGAAGGTGAAGGTTGCAATGAGCCGAGGTTACGCCACTGTACTCCAGCCTGGGTAACAGAGTGAGACCCTGTCTCAAGTAAATAAATAAGATGTTCTTCATCATGCTTTACGGTATAATGCCCGTAATTTTAAAATTTCTTTTATAGCCGGGCGTGGTGGCTCACACCTGTAATCCCAGCACTTTGGGAGGCTGAGGAGGGTGGATCACCTGATGTCGGGAGTTTGAGACCAGCCTCACCAAAATGGAGAATCCCTGTCTCTATTAAAAATAGAGAATTAGCCGGGCATGGTGGCACATACCTGTAATCTCAGATACTCAGGAGGCTGAGGCAGGAGAATCACTTGAACCTGGGAGGCTTGTGATTGTGGATCGCACCATTGCTCTCCAGGCTGGGCAAGAAGAATGAAACTCTGTCTCAAAAAAAAAAAAAGAAAAGAAAAGAAAATAGAAAATTTGTATTATAGCTTCGATATAAGGACCGACTTCTTTAAAAAAGATATGTTGCCGGGCGCAGTGGCTCAAGCCTGTAATCCCAGCACTTTGGGAGGCTGAGGCAGGTGGATCACGAGGTCGAGAGATCGAGATCATCCTGGTCAACATGGTGAAACCCCGTCTCTACTAAAAATACAAAAAAATTAGCTGGGCATGGTGGCACATGCCTGTAATCCCAGCTACTAAGGAGGCTGAGGCAGGAGAATTGCTTGACCCCAGGAGGCGGAGGTTGCGGTGAGCCGAGATCGCGCCATTGCACTCCAGCCTGGGTAACAAGAGCGAAACTCCGTCTCAAAAAAAAAAGATATGTTTGCAGTAAATTGAAGAACTCTAATGCCCCTTTGTGGAGGAAAGCTTTAGAAATGATATAATTATTAAAGATATTAAATAGACAAAAAAAATTTCAAATAATGATGATGATGAAAGAATCTATTTAGTGAGTATTAAAACTTCTGACTACTTCTAACTATTGGTCCTACCCAGCCACTGATTAAGTCCAGTTGTGTAGTCTAAACTGCTCACTTGATTTGTCTTTGCTTCCATTTGCCTTTCCATGAAATGGGAATTCAAAAAAAAAATGAAAAGCCCATGACTGTTGTGAGGATAAATAAAATGACACATGCCGAAAGGGTGCCGTGGGCACCTTTGAGGACTTGTGTTATATAAATGTCAATAACAGATACAGAGGAGGCCGAGCGGTTTCGGGTTGTAAATCCAGCTGATTAGCTGGGGATGTTACGTAATAGAATCTGCAAATGGAGAACAAAGAGGAGCCCTCAGGGTCACCCGCCCATCTTCCAAGCCTGGTTTAGAATTACAAAGGTGTAGCCAAGGAGGAGCCCTGTTGTAGGTAAGAGCTTTGGAAACCAGATACCTCAATCCGATGAATACGAGTGAGTAATGAGAAGACTTCATGAAACTCAAGGCCTTTCTTCTGAGGGGTGTTGGGGTGTCCTGTTTATTTTCTTCAGTGGCGGTTTTGTTTGGATTTAGATTTTCTTTTTTTAAGTGCTATCTATTCTCCCTGGCCCTCAAAGTGAAGAGGAAGACAATGCAAAGGCCGGGAGGCATCCCTCCAGGTTTCCCTCTGTGACCCATTCATCTGGCAGCTGACAGCACAATAGCGGGCCCTATGCTGCCCAGAGTCTGATCAATAAGATTAACTTCTAGAGCCAGAAGTGAGCAGTGAGTGTGGGATGGGAGAGGAGATGCTGGCCCTGGGGTGCCCTAACCCCACAGGTTCCGCTATATGTAACCCCCATTCCATCCCACCTACGTTACTTCTCCCAACCCCGGAAGGGAGAACTAAAGAGGGTCTTTTTTGTTTTTAATCACTACATGTGTTTGCAAAGAGTTTGGAGCCTCATGTGATTGACAAGCTGTTCACAAAAACACCATGATTTGCATGTTCAGTTCTGCCTCACCGGTCAGTTGTTCTAGACACAGTTGTTCTAGACACGGTAAAATAGTTCAGTGAACATCCCGCAAAACTGCAGCTCTTGGCCTGGTGTGGTGGCTCACACCTGTTAATCCCAGCACTTTGAAAGGCTGAGGCAGGTGAATCACGAGGTCAAGAGATTGAAACCATCCTGGCCAACATGGTGAAACCCCATGTTTCACCAAACTGAAAATACAGAAATTAGCTGGGCATGGTGGCACGCACCTGTAGGCCTGTAGTCCCAGCTACTTGGGAGGCTGAGGCTGGAGAATCGCTCGAACCCCGGAGGCAGAGATTGCAGTGAGCCGAGATCACGCCACTGAACTTCAGCCTGGTGACAGAGCGAAGCTCTGGCTCAAAAAACGGCAACAGCAAAAACTGCAGCTCTTCTCTGTTTCTTTTCAAAACCAAAGGAATGGGACCTCAGAGTTGTGAATGTTTTCAGAAACAGTAACCAATTTGATCCTCACAACAGCCCAGGGAGGGCAGGAAGAGATCCTGGGTCCTTAGCAATCGAGGAAATAAGGCTCCTCCAAGAGGGTCTGGAGAGGCCCCCGGTGGCAGGCTACCCCTATGTGAAGACCCTGCTTGGCCCAGCTCCTGCAGATTCACCCCCTGATCTGACCGGGGTGCCAGCACACTGGTGTTCAGGGTCTCCAAAGGCCCTGTGCCTTCCCTAGGGGAACTGCTCACAGGCCCTCAGCCTGGCATCTCTCCCACACCTGCCCTGAACTGCTCATTCCTACTCTTGCTTTAGACCAGGGCTTTTCTTTTCTTTTTCTTTTTCTTTTTTTTTTTTTTTTTTTTTTAAGACAGGGTTTCACCATGTTGGTCAGGCTGGTCTTGAACTCCTGACCTCAGATGATCCGCCAGCCTTGGCCTCCAAAGTGCTTGGATTACAGGCAGGAGCCACCACACCCGGCCATAGACCAGGGCTTTTCAAACCCTCCAGTGCCTGTGAATTTCCCGGGAACTTGTTACAAAGTAAATTCTGATTCAGGAGGCCTAGGCGGAGCCTGGGATTCTGCATTTCTGACAGGCTGCCAGAGCTCATGACCATCTGCTGGTCACACTGAGCAGCAAGGCTGATCCTAGCATAGGCCTCACTTGGTCTGGGATATGTCAAGAGACACTATTGTGCCATCTCCTGGTGGCCTGCCTTGGTTCGTAATTATAATGAGTGTTTGTTATGTTTTCCTTGCTGGAGTGTAATCTCCACAAAGGCAGGGACTAGAACTCACTCATTCCTATTTGTATTCCCAGTGCCTAGCACAGTACCCGACACATGATAAATGCTCACTAAATAGCTATCAAATGGATAAGTGAATGAAAGACAAGAGCCAACACTGGTTTTCCCACAGGAACAATGCCGTCCCTTGATCTTGTGAAGGGCCAGTAATGAGACATTGGGGAAAATTTCACAACCTATCATCAAGTCTAGGTTTTACTGGAGGCTCATTCATATCCCAGGCAGGAACCATCTTAAAAGGAGTCAAACTAAAATGTTCATGGTGATCATCTCTCAAGAGTGGGATTACTGACTTTTCTTTTTCCTTGTGCATTTTTTGTGTTTTCCAAATTTAATGC